TACTACCTATTTCACGGGTCAAGTAAAATCACAATATAATTTGAGCAGTTTGTGCAAGATTCAGCTCTTTGCAATCAATAAGCTTATGAAAGAAAATAGCAGCAATCAAAAAATGCGAACAAACTGGGTGGCAAAAACGGTAATGAGCTCATACATTCCTTGTAAAATTTGGGGTTTTTCAAAGAAGAATTTCTCCGAAAGTATTCGGTACATCGGGTTCAAATTTTCAGAGATAACTGAAATTGTTATGCTCTTTCAATATTAAGAGATTTTATTTTGTTAGCTTCATTAGATATGAAAAGCATATGCTAATTACGCAAGAATTTAAACAAGAATTCGCCCACATGTATATTTAATTCTTACAGACCCCCCCCCCCCCCCCCCCCCTCAACACCCCCCCCCCCCCCCCCAATTTTCTTACATACGACTTACATATGAGTCAGAATATGGACTGCGTGAGCAGGAGAACGAAGAACGAAGGCAAGAGACATGACGTATTACACAGTAGGTCTTTCACTGCCTATAAAACATCCACACCAGCAGTTATAGTGGATGTTTTCTGGGGTCCTATGTAATACAGTTGAAACTTTCCTTGCGACCACTCTCGTAAGCGACCAGTTCTAGTTACGACCACTTTTTCGAATATCTGAGGTGGTCGCTTACGAGAGGTTCGACTGTATCTGTTGATCTCAATATTAACATAACATGAGGTATTTTGCCGGCACGGAACATATCATATCAATCAAACCACGGGCAAAGCAAAGCGTAATCACCCAAAGAATGTTAAATAACACTCCATTCCCTCTTGGAGTGTTCTATTGTAAACTTAGCTTTTATGTTCCCTACTGCTTAAATTCCCCCGCCCTATTACTACCCCTGCAAGTGCAGTTAAGTGGTAAGAAAAGGAAAACTGTCGATGCAAAGACTCAACAGAGAAATCTTTTTCATATTTTATTGGCAAACATTCTATTTTTCTTTCAAAATGTTTCCTCAAAATATCACTAGAAACCCTCCTTATTTAACATGTCATACGCTTTCAGAAAGGTCAAAATTAGAAACATTTCTCGGTGAGCTATTAGAGAAAATTAGGCAAGCCTTAACTTCCTACCGGCGAGCTTGTTCACAGTTCATACCACTTATGTGTTAGTACCCCACGTGATCGTAGATCATCTTGAAACGGGTGTCGTTGGAGTCAAGCTTAGTGCTCTTTCTACACAAATGCTGAGACGAAAATTGGTAAAAAAAAAAAGGCGCTTGAGATTCCGTTTACACTTCGACGGGTCCGGACAAAATGTTTTACCTGTGGAACACTTTTACAATAGACCTTTTCACCGATACGGTGGCCATATTGAATTTATTAGATTTAAGGAGTATTAAGAGATGCTCAGCGGGCATGAACACGATGCGATATACGCTCAGTATTTACGCGCCCTTTTCGGGCCAATTTTCCTTTAAGATTTCCTAGAAGAAGGATTGTAATAGGAAATGATCGCCTTTTTCCCGAGAAATATACAGTGAAGTTCTCTTTTTGCCCGAAAAGCGCGCGTAAATACTGAGTAAGTGCCCCCTGGGCATCCCATAATACTCCTTAACTCTAGTAAATTCAATATGGCCGCCGTATCGGTAAAAAGGTCTATTCTGTTTCAGATTGCAGTACTGTTCAAAGCATTGCACGGTTCCGAGGGTCCCGTGTGAACCAAAAAGCAGATCCAAGGAAGTTTTCGTCCGTTCAAATATTTGCCCGGACCCGTGTAAAGGGGGTCTGAAATGTTCAACTGGTCGAAAGCAGTTTAAAAACCTGTCAGTCTCGTGTCTACATCTACTACCTCTAAGGTTTTGGAGGTGTCTAAAGCGCATGCTCGCGAAAAAGGTTCCTCTTGGAGCGTAAACAAACTAACAAAGCGACCGCCGGCGACACGAACGTCTTTGTAAGTGCTGAACGCCATGCAAGAAGGAAACTGCTGCTCGCAGGGTATATGGTAACCACCTTAAAATAGAGCCATATAAACAACTTAATGTAGTTAGCACAACATAAAGGGCGAGAATAAATACCTAACAGAGGACAAAATAACATGACGTTTGAATAAAAATGGCTTATTCCTACCTTTTGGCCATTTATACACCTTCTTAAAAATATTAACTTAAGTCAAAAAAACCGAAATACATTATCCATTAATACTAGATTTACATTTGAAGAAATTTTTCTGGATTCGAAACGAATCCGCAACACTTCGGTTCTTAATTTATTATACGGTTTACACGCGGATTTGTGAATCAGGAACAAAATTTCCTAGTTTGGACGCGTGTCCAGAGATTTAAAATCCGGAATCTAAATAGAGAGCTTTAGATTTGAGGACGAGAAAGAGTAAAAGAGTACGGGTACGAGATTTAACTTCATTTTACTTTTTTTACCAAAAAAGTTAGTACGGTTATTTATACTGAAGGAGGTTAAACCCTCCCCGATGGCAAAATGATAAAACTTCTTACATTTGATAACTTGTTCCCGCCACTACATTTCGCTAAAACTCGTAGTAGAATGACGACGACTATCACGTTTTCCCGCCAAAATAACGTTGGTTCACGCGCGTGCAGTACTTCGTATTGAGAAAATCTCGTACTCGTAGTCGTCCTCGTCTCAAGATCTAAAGCCCCCAAATAACTACCTAACGTACGAGTGTAAACGCTCGCGAATCCGAACACCCTAAAGGCATCAAATTCAGCAACACTTACGAATTCGGAAAAATCTCCCCTCGTTTAAACGTAGTTTTAAACCAACTATTAACTTAAAAAAAATTGTATCTTCTGCACATTTCATCGTTCACTCTAGAACCAAGTGGCTTCTCTAAAACGCTTACGTCACATATTTACACATTTAAAGCCATAAATTTAAGTTAAAAACAATACCTTTTTGCACTACTATGACCACAGAATTTAACAGAACTAATTCCTAGACAATTGTTTTTGTATCATGTTGGAATTGACAGTCCTAAACTCTTCTTCTTTTTATTATCCCAATAAATGTAATTTAAATGTTTGACTACTTTTCAAAATCTGTCCCCCAAATAATTTAAAATTCTACCTAGCATCGTCGCGCGCACCCTATTCAAGTAAAAAAGAATTGACATTAAAACTTGTCTCGTTCACGAAAACGGTAATTGTCTACACCAGATCCTTATTTGATGTTATGGCAGCAGTATTTAGAAATTCCTTCTCTAGTTGTCAAAATATTTCCTATGATATCCTTTGATTATCCCCCTACAAATTTACCGTTTCATTTTTCTCAAAACGTACACAACTTAATCAAGACCCGGACAAACGATATAACTTTGTTCTCAACACAGCCTCGTTCCCTGTCTTCCTCGGCGATTTCGGATGTGACGTTATCCGTCCAGCTTGTCGGAAGAATTTGGTTAGCGCGAATTGGCCTGGGGACGAGGTTGCTCTTAACAGAGAGGCTTTCACTCAAGTACCGAAAAAGCGCAAAAACCAAGATATCATGCTGGTATGGTCAGTCGTAAAAGACTAGTAAATACAATACACCAACTAGAGAAATCAGTAAAAACTTCAAATTGGTACCCGCTTTTAAGATGACGGCATTCGCTAATCTATGCAAATTCTACTAAACTTTTATTGTGTTTTGAGTCAAGCTGCATAGCTTTTCCGGGCCCTTGGTAGCTACAAAGTATAATTTAAGGGAAGCGGCCATACACAAGTGTACTCGAGCAGGGCCAGCTTTGATTCGGTGTTAGAAATAATAAATAGGGTAAACAAGGCACCTCAAATCTGATGAGCCCCAAAGACAAAGATTTTCATCGGAAAGATTGAGATGAGAGTGAAACATTATTGTTAGACACCCAACAGGGTGCCCTGTTTATACAGCCCTCTCTTCTAGCTTCACGCCGCTAGGGCGTTTCTGTCACACGAAACGTTTCTAGCGGCGACAAGCGAGGAGAAACAGCTGTGTTCCAAAGTTACCACCACAGGGACATTACAAACTTCTAATTAATTTCTGCTGGTAATGAGAAGGGCTACACAAAGGTGATAGCATCTCTTTATGATAGTGAGATATGGGTGTACAAAGAAACTTGGGAGTTTAAGTAGAGACGTTTTTGAGCGACGCACGTCGACCGAAAGTGGAATTTTTGTACTCTTTAGCCGTGATTTTTGGGCAAATCGTCACTATAAGGGTAAAGACTCTTAGCAATACAAATTTGGAAGCGTCAAGACAATTTAAAATAGAAAACGGCTCACTTCCGTTTGACGCGCGTCGCCCAAAAACGTCGCCGCTTAAATTCCATAGTAACCAGGGAGAGAAGGGTCCTGTGTTTTACAGTGGGACATTTACAATAGTTGGTATTGGTCAACACAATACCATCACATGACCATGTGATCAACTTTCTGTAAACACGAAAACTTCGTTCTTACGTCTTGTGGGCCTCAAGTTTTAGTTTGTTCATGACAGAAAATTCATTTGTAGCCCCTAATGCATAAGTGTAAAGATTTCAAAATTTGCAAGGATTTGTATGGAAAACCACATATACTTGCGTGGCAAGTGTTGCTCATGTGCATTTGCTACTTTTTAAATATATGGCTGAAAATGTCCTAATTTTAATATTTTCTTTCAGTTGCTGCTAAAAACATTTTTCCTTCACGAACTGTTTTCGTGTTTACAAAAAGTTGATCACGTGACCAACTAGTGCAAAAGTCCTATCGTTTTGACTACTTCCTAGATGCATTTCAAGTCAACCTCAACTTACAATCCCGTGATCAGTTTAGTTTTCTGGAAAACTGCCCACTTACCTCTCCCCGAACTCAACTTTAACATTTGCGTCTCACTTGGGGCAAAATGTTAGGCTAGGGGAGGGGTAGGTGAGCAGTTTCCTAGAAATCAAAATTGATCCCAGTCCCTCTTATAGTGTGAGTGTGATGCCTCCTTTACCTCAAGTTCCACACAATTGCAGTCAAATTATGTACGACAATGGTTGCCCAATTAACTACTCTTACAGCGTCGACGTTTTGCTGGAATCCTTCGAACGACTGCTGCCACTGCCTCCTCGTTTGAACTCAACACGCTGTTCTTTAATCTCTTGTACCTTTTTCGTGCGCGTGACAGTTTCATTTGTTCTCCCCTGAGAGGAACTATCGCCTCCCTCCCCGCTTGTAGTGTAGTGGGTCTTGAACGTCTGGAATCTTGAAGAAGTGGTCTGCAGTGGTTTCACTTCAGCAGTGACCTGCATCGGTTCAAATTCTAACTTCTCCTCCGCCTCCACTCTCACACGAATTGGACCAGAAGATCCTTCGACCTGCGAAATGACATTTTGACTTTTTTCTTCTAACTTCTCGGGGGATGCCTCGATTCCGTTTATAGGGGAAACGACTCGAAATTCTAAAGAACCCTGGGGGTTCTCCGAGCCGGAAGAGGGGGCGTACAAGGCACTGGTCTGCAATTGGGTGATTTTAGTCATGACAGTACTGCTGCTGAATGTTGACGTATGACTTCTAGTGTCTGTAACATTTAACGTTGTGGGCGTCATGGATTGGTATGCGGGGTCGAACGAGACGTTTAGCTTAGGACTGGAACTGGATTCCAAGTGTTTTATTTTAAAAGGGCTGCTGGGTGGAGTGTTATCAGTGGCCCCGTTATTACTTACGACTGTGATGGCTGGCTTGTCTGAATCTTCATCAACCTGGTAACGCTGGATTGGAGTCACGCCTGTCTGAATTCTGGTTATCTTTGTAGTGCTGGTGGTGGTGCTACCCGTGCTTGAACTGCTAGCCGTACTCGTCTGATTTGCACGCGTTTCGAAAGGACTTTTCACTTTAACCATTCTTTTCGGGTTCATTTGATAGCTAGACACCTCCAATGGTACCGCCTTCTCTTTAACGTCAACCATGAATTCGGTGTGACCGAACGTTGAAGATTGTGCGGACTCTGTGGTCGCCGACTGCTGGGGTACAACGACTTCCCTGGTAACTGTAACACCTTTTGGTGGCATAATGTAAGAAGTGGTATAATGCGCATCAACCTCTTGCTCTGGTCTCATCATTCCCTTCAGCCGGAAAATCTCCTGGTTCAACTCTTCGATTTCTTTGATGTAGCCATTACATTCCAATATTTTGGACTCCAGCTCACGTTTCAAATAAGTCACGTCAGTCTCAAATGACGATCTCACATTCTTTATTTGCACCTCCCTGTCCTTTCTTTCGTCTTCCAAGAATCCCTCAAGCTTCAGTACTCGGCTGTTTCTGTGGTTAAGCTCGATGTCTAATTCCGCTAGTTTCTGATTCAGTACCTGAATCTCGCTTATGTAGCCATCGCATTCCACTTGCTTGTTGCTGAGCTCTCGCTTGAGCCTTTCCAAATCCTGCTCATTAGAACTGTTTAGGATCCGCAGTCGTTCAATCAAAGTTTCTTTCTCGATGATCTCCGTTTTGTACACTTCTATTCTGCTCTCGATCTCTGTAATCTTCTCAAGCAGCACTGTTGTCTCACTCTCCGTCATACTCTTCTCTGTTCTTGCCTCGTTCATCTGCTTCGTCAACACTTCGAACTTGGTGCGAATCGTGGAGAGCTGGGATTCGAGATCATAATTCTCTTGATTAAGCTTCTCAATCTCCCGGATATAACCTTCACATTCCACCTCCTTTGTATCCAGCTCTCGCCTCAACTTATCGATTTCGCCATCGTTGTTTGAGATCTGCACACGAAGCTTTTCAATGACCGTTTCTTTCTCTATTATCTCTGTCTTGTACTCTTCGATGCGAGTTTGAATCTCGATAATTTGTTCGTGCATTAAGCTCGCCTCGCTTTCACCTTTACTTTTCAGTTCATCGGTTTGCGCTACCGCTATATCTTTGTCTGTCCTAAGTTCCGTTATTTGAATCTCTAGTCTGTTGATAGTATTGCGAAGCGTATTAATCTCCATTTCTTGGTCTGCCTTCTCGTGCTTAAGCCTTTCAATGTCCTGCTTATACCTCTCACATTCGTTTTTCTTGGAGGAAAAATCTCTCTTCAGACGGTCGACCTCTTGCTCAAAGGAAGTTGTTTGGAATCGCAACTTTTCTATTATAGTCTCTTTTTCAATAATTTCTTTCTTGTAGCTTTCGACTCTCGTCTGTATTTCTACAATCTGTTCACTCATGACCTGAGCATCAGTCTCCCCTTTCGCAGTGGATTCCACGAGTTGCCTCTCGAGGCCTTCTTTACCGACTCGTTCTTTCCGCACGTCGCCTTCAAGAAAAATAACTTTTTCCCGAAGCGACATTATTTCAACAGTCAATTCTGATTTGTCTTTGGTAATCTGCTCGATTTTTTCCAAAGACATCTTGAACTCTCCGTCCTTTGAAAGAAGATCTCTTCTTGTGACTTCAAGCTCATACTTCAAGTGCTCAATTTCGTCTTCCTTAACGCTGATATCTCTCTTAGCGTTTTCAAGCTTCGTTTGCAGTTCAGACACGAATTTCGCATAACCAGATGACTCTTCGTCTCCGCGGTTCCTAGTGTCCACCAGCTGTGCTTGAAGTTGAGCCTTTTCGGATTTCTCGGTATCGATCAGCACATTTAACTTGGTAACTTTGCTTCTTAGTGCTAGGAGTTCCACCTCCATGTCAGACTTTTCCTTTCTGGTGTCCTCTAAATCTTTGATGTAATCCTCACAGTCATTCTCTTTGCCTTCTAACTCCGTCTTAGTGATGTGGAGATCATGCTCCGCCTGAGAAACACGTTCTTTAAGCTCTCGAATGATGGTTTCTTTTTCAATGATCTCTCGTTTACAAACTTCGATCTGGTTAGTGGCGTCTTTTATCTGCTTCTTAAGGTCATTGCTTTGATTGGTACTTTTGCCAACAACTTCATTAATGTTCTGCCTTAGCTCTTCCTTGTCCTTCTCGTGCTCCTCGACAAGAATCTCAAAGTTTCGTAATTGTCCACGAAGCGTGTTGATCTCAATTTCCATGTCAGCCTTTTGTTGGTTGCTCTCCTCGAGGTCCTTTACGTAATCATCGCATTCTATCTGTTTACTCTGGAGATCTCGCCGTGCTCTATGTATGTCGTCTTCTAGATCAGCCTGTCTGTTCTGCATTTCTTTGATCACGCGTTCTTTTTCGATTATTTCTTTGCGGTACGTTTCTATCTCCACTCTTAATTCGTTAACACGGCCAGCAAAATCCCTCGATTGGCTGTCTCCCATGTTTTTATAATCTTCGAGCTGGGCTCTTAGGTTATCTTTTATCTTCTTTTCTTCCTCAATCTGTATCTGCAATTTCTTTACTTTAGTCTTGAGGGAAGTAATCTCGTTTTCTAAATCGGACCTGCCCTGGTTTGACAGCTTGCTCGAGTCCTTGACAGAATCAATTTGGCTTTCAAGTTCAGCCACATGTTGCTGAAGTACCATATTTCGTTCCTGAATATGTTCATATTCCAGCTCCAACTTGGAGATCCTCGTCTGATATTCAACAACTTCCCGTTTTAGGGTATCAACTTTATTTTCGAGCGTTTGGTTTGAACTTTCTAGCCCCAGGTTCTTTTCTTTTTCGGTCTCCAAGTCATGTTCGAGCGAAGAAACCTTTTTCAACGCGGCCAGAAGTTCCAACTGAAGCTCGCCTTCACGTTCCTGTAGCTTTTTATAATCAGCCTCCATAGTGGAAAATATCTGTTCAGATGAGACTTCGGCTTTTTCCTTCTGACTCTCGAGTACAAGGTCATGGAGCTTTCGTTGCATAGATTCAACTTCTTTAACCAACAAGTCTTTCTCTTGGCCCCAATCTGTAGCTTCTTCTTGAAGATCTTCAAGGCGCCGCCTAGCAGCTTGTAGCTCTAAAGTAACTTTCTTGTGCTCGGCCGTTAAGATCTGTAGTTCCTGTGTCTTCTCAGATAGGTTTTTCTGCAGCTCAAGCACCTTGTCCTGGAGTTTGCGTCTTTCTTGCTTGACTTCCTCTAGAGAATGTTCCAACCCGGTGGCTTTTTCTCGCAAAGCATTGTTTTCTCGCTTGAGGGTATCTCTTTCCACCTTGATGCTTTCAAACTCAGCACTCAGTTCTTCAGAGAACATGTCCGGAACCGCTGCCTCTACAGTGGAAACGCTCTGGACGGCGATAGTCTCTTCTCGGGAAATTTTTAGCTCATCATAGAGTCTCTGGACTGAAGCGAGTTCCATTTTAAGCCTCTCGTTTTCGTCGTTCAGCAACCGAACAGTACCCTCCAGCTCAGTGTACTGTATATGCAGCTTCTGAAGCTCAAACTTTGTGTCTCGTTGTTCCATCAGCACTTTGTCGAGTTCAGTTCGAACGCGGTCGAGTTCTTCCTTCATTTCGGTCTTCTCGCCTTCTAAAGAATCGTTCTCTTCCTGTAGCCTCTCAATTATTGCCTTCTTCTCAACAAGTTCTCGGATTTGTTCTTCATAGAACTTTTGCTGGTCTATTAGTTTCTTTTGCACAACAGTGATCTCCTGCCTCAAGTTATCATTCCTGGATCTAATCTGATCCAGCGATCCCTTGAGCTGTGCGTTAGCTTTCATCTGATTCTGCAATTCCTCTTCCAGGGAAACGACTTTGCTCTGAGAAGTCTGCAAGGTCCTTTGCAGCTCGATCTTGGCGTTGTTAGCAGACTTATAAGCTGACTCCCAGTCAGCCATCTTTTTTAGCGCCTCCATCAGTTCCTTCTGTTGCGCGCTCAGTTGATCTTGACTCGTCTGTAGCATTGTCTCCGTCTGAGCGGTCTTCTGTTGACTGGCGAGTAAATCCTCCTGTAGACCCTTAAGCTTGTCTTCATAGGACGTCTTGTAGGCTTCTAGCCGGAATACCTTGTTCTTGGTTGATTGAAGCTCTTGTTCTAGGCTAACAACCTTCTTTCGCAGAGTTTTGTAATCGCCCTCGTCAACTACATCTCGTCCGTGAAGCTCCGAGAGGCTGTTCTCTAGGTCAGATATCCTTTGGACCTTCAACATAACATCGTGTTCTAACGCCTGGATAATTCGGCTGGAATCTCCATGCTCCAACTCAAGTTTGGATATTCTCCTCTTCCCATCCAGGTATCTCCTCTCTGTGTCCTCCTTCTCGTTCAGAATCTTCTGGTACGATTCTTCCAAGTCTTTCAGTCTCTTGAGTGTACTTGCATCGGTTGGTTTCTTCTCTCGCTTATCCGCTTGCACTGTTTGTATATCGACGTACTTCTTGTTTATAACAGTTATGTCACTTTGCAGGCGATCTCGGTCAGCCTGGAGAGCATTGAGACGTGCTCTCAATTCAGTATTTTCCCGCTTGAGATCTGTTATCTCTTTCTTCAAACGGACCTTCTCCTCCTCTAGAGTTTCATTCCTCGCTTGAAAATAAGTAAGCTTGCGGTTAATTGAAAGGATCTCGTTCTGTAGCTTGTCTACCTCTCTCTTGGCATTCGCAAAGTTGGACTTATACTCGTTTAAGGACGTTAAGAGTGTAGCTTTCTCTTGTCTCAATTTGTTCTTCTCGTTCTCGGCGAGGTCAAGGCTGTGTTTAAGAGCGTCAATTTTGGACTCAAGTTCTTGCACCTTTAATGTTAGTGCTGCTAGATCGTGCTGGGCTTTATCGTAGTCTTCTCTGTATAAAGCTACCTTTCGCTTAAGACTCGTCACCTCTTCCTCAAGGGTTTTGTTGTTGGCATGATACCATTCTATCTGCTGGTTCTTTTCTTCAATGGTCTTGTCGACGTTTTCCACAATGGCCCGAAGCTCAGAGATCTGTCTGAGAACAATGGCGTTTTCATCTCGCTGCTTGTCCATAACGCCTCTTGCTTTCTCCAGCTCACCAAGGAGGGTGTTCTTTTCAACGTTAAGGCGATGAATATCGCCCTCTAACACACTTATTCTCTTCTGGTCTTTAATTAGCTCACGATTAAGGTCTTCGTTTTCGTGGTCAAGCGCCTTCACTTTCATCTCTAGCTCTGTAGACTGCTTTCGCAAAGAGAAGTTTTCCTTCTCCAAGTCATCCTTTCTTTTTTGAGCTTTATCCAGCGTGGCTTTCGTGGAAGACACCTCGTGTCTTAAAGCGTGCACTTCTTTTTGAAGAGAGTCTCTCTCTGCTTTGATGCTGTCCTTAGGTGTAGCATCTGCCTCATCACCACCACGGACCATCCACTCTTGAAGTTGGCGTTCTGCGTTGAGGAGCTGTGTCTCATTTTGTGACACAACGTTAACTTGTTCCTGTAGCTGCACTTCCATGGCTGCCTTCTCTTTGCTGGCAACATCAAGGTCTTTCTGAAGGCGGGTGATCTGAGTTGTTTTTTCTTCCATCACCTTGGTTACAGTGAGTAGCTCCCTAACTGCACGATCTCGGTCATCTAAGAGAGCCGTGATTTCGTCCTTCAACGCCGACACATCTTGTTCCAAGACCATGATCCTTTCATTCTGAATTTCATTCGTTGATTCCAGTTTGGACACCTGTGTGTGGTAGCTCTTGATTTTATCCAGAAGGTCCCTTTCCTTGTCTTGGTAGGCTCTGATCTCGGTCTCCGCGTCAGTAAGCTTTCCTTGCAGGACAGCTATTTGCTCTGTAAGTCTTCGTACGTCTCCCTTGCTTCCTTCATAAGTGTCTTCCATCAATGCTGTTTTTTCTGAAATCAACTTGTAACTCTTTTCAACATCTTCCTTGTCACGCAACATAACATCGTGATAATTCTTTAACTCACGAAGTTCTTTTTGTAGCTCGTCAATCTCATCTTCTAAGGTCTTCTTAATTTGTCTCAAGTCATCAATAACCTTGTTCTTACCATTCAAGTCATTTTCTAGGAAATCAGCCTTGCTTTGGAGATCAGTGATGGACTTTTTCTGAATCATGCTTTCTTCGCGACTCTGGTCAAGTGACGACCGAAGCTCAGCGATCTTGTTTCTGTTAGTTTCGTCGGTTCTAGTAAGCTGCACCAGTTGCTCTCCTATGGAAGACACCTTTTTTACTTGGTTATCAAGCTCGTTTTGGAGGCGATCTTTCTCCAACGCCACTTTTCTCATCTGACCCTGAAGTTCATTGAGCACTCTGTTAAGCTCGATATTTTCCCCCTGTAGGCTCCCGACCTCATCTTTCAGCCTCTCGACATCCTCCTCTGCGGTTTTGAGGGCATCCTTCAAAGAATCAACCTGATCTTCGAGGTAGGTTCTCGCTGATTCCAACTGACGTATAAGATTGTCTTTCTCGTTTAACCTGTCTTGAGTTGTCTCTGTGATTATCTTCAGTTCGACCAGCTGCTGTTCTTGCTTTAGGTAGTCGTCTCTACTCACACCTGAAGTCCGCTGTAGCGCTCCTCCAAGCTGCTTCTTCAGCGAATCGATCTCCTTATCATCGTATTCGGATTTCAGCTCCAACTCTGAGATTCTGGTGTTTGCGTTGACGAGTTCTTCCCTCAGATCGCTTTTTTCTTTATCGATTCTCACTCGCGTTTTCTGCAGCTCTTGCAATTTCCTCTGGAGCTGCGTGCCCTCAGATTCTAGTTCAAAGATTCGCTTTTGTGACTTCTTAAGATCCGTCTCCATCTGCACAATTTTCGTGGTGCGGACCTCAACCTCACTTCTTAAGTCGGCTTCGCGGCCCTGAGTAGACTTGTACAAATTTTCAATTTCAAAAATCTTGTCATCGTACTCCTTCCGGTCTTTTTCACTTAATTCACCTTGCCTGCCCAGCGTTGTCACAGTAATCTCGAGCTTGGATATGTTGATGTTTGCTTGCTGAAGTTGGCCTTGCAAATCTTTAACCCGCTCTTGGCTGGAAACACGAGTGCTCTCGAGGTCTTTCTTTAAACTTATCAACTCATCTTCGAGATTCTTCTTCGCGTTATTTAAAGTATCTGCCAATTTAATTTTGTCTCGAATCTCTTTAACCTGGTTGTTTATGGTGCGATCTTTCTCCACTAAACTGTTCTTAGTGTTCATAAGATCTTCTTTCACTTTGCGGCAGTCCTCGCGGAAAGCAAGACCTTCCGTTTTGTAGAGATCTCTTTCCTTGGCAACACTTGTAAGCTGAGTCTCAGCGATGGTAATTTTGTGATCTCTCGAACTTATATCACGCAGTAGCTCTTGACGATTCTGCTTCAGATTTCTTATTTCTTGATCCATGTCCTCAATTCTCACTTGTAAGACAGCAATTCTCTTCTGCAGGTCTTCCTTGTCGGCCGTAAGCACGTCGCAGGTCACATTGTTTTTGTTCAACTGCCGTTTTGTTTTGTCTAACTCATCTTGAAGCTGTCTAAGCTTGCTATTCAACTCGTCGATCGTTTTATCTTTTCTGCCTATGATGGTATTCAACGTCTCGCCAAACTTCTCGTGTTGAGCCGATTTGTTCTCTATTTGAATGAAGCGTTCCTTACTCTCTAGAAGCTTCTTGTTGGCAGCGTCGAGTTGATCCCGTAATTGGGTTATCTGTCTACGACAAGTCTCGAGCTGTGTTTCTTGCTTTGATGCCTTATTTTGAAGAGCATAAAGCTCTTTCTCAGCTTGGTCTTTGTCATCTCGGGCAGCATCAAGGTCTGTCTCGACTTCCCTTAACTTGCTTTCAGTCGCCAGTAGTTTCTGATACTCCTTAGATTTCTCCTCATTAATCTGTTCAATTTCAATATTTAGCGTGAGCATCTTTTCTTCGGCTACGTCCATGTCGTTTTCCAGCTTGTCAAGTTCTCTTTGTCTTCCATCTAGCTGGTTTTCTAACTCTTTCACTTTCTCGGTAAGCTCGCGTATCTTTTTTTCCAGGTCCACATTTCTCGCACGCTCCTCATCCAACAGAGCTCCAGCATCTTTTCCTTGCTCTTCGAAATCCACGTATGTTGACTCGAGATCGGACACCTTCATTTGAACAACTTCAAAATCGGTCTGCAGAAGTTCTTTGCTTTGTGTTGCAGTACTGTATAACGACGAGAGACGCGCGATCTCCTCATTACTTGCATCTAATACTTTCTTAAGCCTTTTATTTTCTTCTTCAAGGACGCCTATTTCCGTTTTTAAGCGGCTTATTTCAGCAAGACTGGTATCCTTGTCAGAAGTTAACGCGGCTAGTTCACGTCTAAGTCGCTCGATTAAGTCGTCCCTCTCAGCTATCTCTTTTTTGTAAGCTTCAGCCAGTTTGTTTAGATCAGTTAATCTGCCTTTAAGTGATTCAATATCTTCTGCATTCTTATCCTTAGTTGATCGAAGCTCTTGCACTTCTACGTCTAAAACAGAATTCTGCCTCGTCACTTTGCTTAGTTCGTCCTCAAGTTTTGCAATCTTGTTCTTCAACATTGAAAGCTGCTGTTCCAAGTCATTTCGCTGCTGCTCCACAATGTTGAAATTGGATTGTAAATTTGACATATCTTTATACACAGTCTGAAGATCTTCGTTTATCCTATCTTTCTCATCCACTGCGACCTTGTAGTTAGTCTCTGAGTCGCCCAATCTCCTCTGGAGCTCCATCTGTTCAGAACGAAGTTCTTCGGCTTCATTCTCCAGCATCTGGATCCTTCGCTCTAGTTTTTGTTCTTCCTCAAGGTAGCCATCGACCTTTGCCTCGAGAGATGACACTTTAGACTTAAATTCTATAATCATCTTGTCTTTTTTCTCTAGATCTCCGTTGAGTCGTTCTATTACCCTTCTGCTTTCAGACAGCTCTTGCTGTACCACCATTAATTCTTTCTTTAGCTGGGTGCACTTGTTCTTCTCCGAGTCAAGCTCCGATTTGTACCTGTCTCTCGCTTTGGTGACGCTTTCCAGTTGAACCTCTAATTTTGATACTTTATTACGCTCTATGGTGACGGCGCGTTCCAGTTCTCCCTTCTCCTCTTGTGCAACCCGCAGGGAATCAGAAGTGTTCAGAATCTTTGAATTGAGATTTTCGATAACCTTCCGAAGCTCGTCTCTTTCTCTTATTACAATGTTATATCGTCCTTGAAGATCTGTCACTGACATGGCCGACTCGTCAAGTCTGGACTGGAGATCTTCCATTCTACTCATTAACTGCCCATCAGCTTGGTCAGTGCTTCTTTCCTTTTGAACTTCCAGCTCTGTCTCCAACTCACTAACCCTCTTTTGGAGCTTCACCTCGACTGACTCCCACTCCTTCACGCGTTCTTGAAGTTTGCCTTGCGACGCCTGGAGGTTCGAGTACTTTCCCTTCACCAAGACTAGTTCCTTTTCAGTGGTCTCCTTCTCGTCATGAAGGGTCTTCACCGTGACTTCATACTCTTGAATGGTTTTCTCGTGCATTGTGATCATCTCTTTTAGCTTCAGCAATTCCCGGTATTGTACATCCACCGTTGTTTGAGACTTATTCAACTCAGATTTAGCAGTTTCTAAGCTCTCTTCCAGCGTGGAGTTTTGGGTTTGAAGATTTTCTATTCTGTGCGCCTTTAAGATGGACTCCTCCTTGTACTTGTTTGCATCATTCTGATTCTGCAAGACCTCGCGATGCAGTCGGGAAATGGTGTCTTTAGCCTTCTTGAGCTCCTCGCGGAGGTCGTCCAGCTGATGTTTGAAAGAATCTCTCTGCTTTACAGCATTCTGCACCTGCACCTCATACCTGCTTACGGTCAAGTTTCCTGTTTTCCCCGCCATCTCAGATTGCCTTCGGTACCTATCACAGTCGTCCTGAAGTCGAGCAAGCTTAGCTTGTAACGTGGCGAGTTCGCTTTGAAGCACATCTCGTTCATCCACCGCATTTTTGCATTCTATTTCCAGCTGAGAGACAGTCTCGTGTAGGAATGACGCTTCCATGTCGTCGGGTGAAGACTCTAGAACTTGCACCTGGGAAACCTGACTGGTCATCTGCTCCCGCAACACGATTAGCTCCTTCTCGAGGACCATCTTCTCAGTTCGTATCTTGTCCACGGAGTTAGTCTTGCTGTTGAGCTCTCGCCGAAGAGACTCCAGTTCCCATTCTCGTTCACGAAGTCGGCGCTGGGTGGACGACAGTTCCTCCTGCTGTTTGTTGAACTTGGATTTGAAATCAGAGAGCTGTTCCTGAAGTTGCTGATTTTGTCGAGTCAAATTATCCACCCTGGATTTCCACCTCTCTGTCTGATAACAACAAAATTAAAGGGTAAATCAGCATCAGGAAGAGGATAGCTTTACACTAAAAACAGCGCTGTGTAACAATGCTCATGGCCAAGACATAAAGGGTTCTATAATTTTGTCAAAACATCCTAGAAAAATAGCAACAGTGTTACTTGCTTGAAAGATTACTCCGCCTTACGTTTAGCACTTGCTGTCCATGGGGTCACTTTACCGATTTAAGAAGATTCTTTTCTTTCCCCTCTACGTTCTTTCATTATGTTATTAAACATAGTTGCCATAAATTGGTAGCAAAAACACTTATCAAAGGAAATAAACAACAGCAACAAACTAGCGAGGATCAGTTACTGTTTAGTGTGCCTTAGAACTGACCAACCCCACTGAAATATTAAAATGAACTTGTCAAGCTCAATATGAGTGTGAACGTGCCGTGTTTTGGGTTTAACATACATTATATTTTTTGAGAACGGTGAGAGTATTTACTGGCAGTGGCCAAGGACAGAGCGTTTGCCTTTGTTTTGGACAGTGGAATCTCATTTGAAAAGTGCGGCGGAAAATGGAGGCAGTGATATGAAGAAGGTTAGGAAAAGTTTGAGGTATCAAAATTATATCTTCGATTGAAACTTAGTGAATAAAACATGAAAAGCGACCACTCTTTAACAATATCAGCCATCGCGTTTGGATTCGCTTAAACCGCCATCTTAGAGGCTATTCGAGCTCGAAGGCTCACGAGAGTTGGCATGAATTCATATACTTGGTATTGCAATGCTTTGTGGGAAGGTAGCCGTCCCTCCTCTGAAGAAGTTCCAAGAAGAACAACATCACCCACAGCTCTCCCGCATAAGGTTAAAAGCGCATATTTTCGATTAAACGCCAGAGAAAACGCCGCAAATATAAAGTTTTGTTCAAACTTATATTTAATAACTTTATGATTTAATGAACTTTTGGAGTGATGTACGGCTATGAAAAACCGATGAAACCGTGCGCGGGTTTAACGGCTTTGAAATAAACGCCAGTTTCTATTTAGTTAACACATGAAACATAATTTTACTTCACTTATTAAGTTTCGCCATTAAAATCAATTAACTAGGAAAATATGTCAAAAAAGAGACATTAAATAATAGACAAGAAAGTAGCTACAACTAAATCCCGGTTGCAATTAGCCCCTCACAAGGTAAAGAAGTAACGGAGACGAAATCATCAAAAATATAAAAATAGAGATACTGGAGCTCACACAGAAGGCCGCGTACCACCCGACTGTGCTAATCCATGTTTCTCCAGCAAGGAAAGCACAGTCGGCCAATTTTAGTTGGACATTGTCCGATGTCCGACTATTTTTAGCAGAATTAAGAGCATTGCAAAGATGAAATGTGACGCCCCGGTGATTTTCAGCATAAAATATAGAGGAAGTGTTGATGGTGTATGAGTTTCACTGGTTCTTAACTTATTGCATATCAGGTTATGACTCAGCTGATAAGGACGCCGGAGAGTCCGCCACACAAGACGCAGAAAACAGCGAGTATGGGGTGTTTGAGTACGCTCCCATTTCCGCATTTTAACAAAGAGAGCTACTCTGTTCTAGTAACTTCAATGCACGTTCCAGAATGTAAATGATTTGATGGACGGAAAATGTTATTGTACGTTATGTGTTTGGATGTCCTTAAGTTTAAACGTTTAAGCCCCAAGAGTGACCATCATCAATTTTCCCCTAACAATATCAATACACAATCAGGAGAAAATGTTGTGAGAATTATTAAAATGATCACCTAAGGGAAAATGCTTTGATCTTTTATCAAATTCTCTCAACTTATTCTTTATGGAAATGCATGGAGACCAGTTTGTAGAATTTGTATGTGGATATCGGGGCTTAAAGGGTTAATGAGGCATAAGAGGACTTCAAGGTCTTTCAACAAACTGCGAATTTCGCCAGTTTCTTGGAAAAGGCAACGAAATGGAAGTCGTTCGTGTTACTTAACCATATCATCATCTAGTCATATGCGAATTAATTTCAGACACGATTGATTTCTGTGATCATTCATGCCTTTATGGTTAAAGCCCCTCCACGCCCCTCGTCACGAACTAAAATAAGATCTTATTGTTAAGGCAAAACAAAGATTGCTGTAATTGCCTATGTAGCCAGAAACGTCTTGTAATCAAATTCTACATGTACGTGAAAACATATTTGCCTAGTAGAATCTAAATTATTTAAATACTAATTACTGTTAATCCTTTAACCTGTGAAAACCCTCCCTTTAAACACAACGTAGTTGTTTATGGCAACGCTCTATTGGTTAGCTATCATGAGGCGTGAACAAGCCGAACGCTAAGGCTCAAATCTTCCCACGAGAACAAAGCAGCTCTGGTTAATAAATTGTGACCAGAAAATAGAAAAACTGGTGTAGTTTTTGTTGAGCACGAAGAACGTTGACCGTGCAACATTGTTCTGCACAGAACTACCCCATTACGCAACTTTCCTTAACTTTTGAAAGTTGTTTCAACTGGAATATACTGGGCGTTTGCGATAAGCGGAAATATTCTGCCCCCCTGCCGTCTGGATCGGAAGGCGTTTAAAACCAGAAACAGCTGGAATCGACGTCGCTTTAAATTGCAACCACGGGGCCAAAAGTTTGCGTCACGGTGTCTAAGTCGGGGAATTAAAGGAGCTGTGACACGAAATTTTTCAAAATTCAAACAGTCGGAATTGCCACCAAACTAAGTGAAACGCAAAACTAACTATGCTCAAACCGTTACAAAGAGGAATATATAAGATAGAAAATACACAAGGGGGGGAGGGATGGGTAAACTGGAAAAAGATTGAAACGGACTGCAACTGTGGTTTTTGAAAACTTGTTAGCCTAACAGTTTTTTAAAATTTGTCTTTGTTGCTTGTAGCGTTTGCTTTAATGCTATGGAGCCACATTTGTGTAACAGGTATTCACGAGTAATTTTTCAAGTTCCTTAACGAATGAAGACGCTTTATTGGCATTATATCAACAAAACGAATTAGCCAGCCGTGAAACAGTCCTTTAACTAGTAATAGATTATTTATGTAGAATTCGCGAAAGATGTATATACCGAGTCATTTTTTACCATGAAATACGTATTGGGACATCCATGCACAGAAACGTACTTCTGAAGCCATTTTGTACGATTACCCACGCTAAGGGACAATATGCGACCTCGTTTTTATATCCCCGTCGCAATTACCCGATGTTGTAAAAAGGTAGAGAAATGGACAGTTTTCACATTATGTCTTACTTCTCTGGGGCCGCTCTAAATGCGGAAATTCAAGTCATTTATACCTAAAAAAAACTTCTACTGTCCAGATTTGTTTTCCTCTTTATATATATTTTTGTGTAGCCATGGCGAGTAAAAAACACAAATAAAATAGGGAGATCACCGTTCTCGTTTCCTCGCAAAACGTCAACAAAAAAAGACAATTTCGGCTTCAAAGGATCATTTTGCGCGAGGTGACTGGAGCGAGTTTCAAGACAAACATCTTTTCAACGGGGTTGAATTATCAAAATCGCTATGAAAGCATTAGGACTACAAAAGGGGCCTTAATTACCTCGTTTTAGGCAACCGGTGAAAATCACCGCCACCTTTGAAGACGCAATAATATGCGCACTAGGTAATGTGTAGTTCAAAGAAAGGGAATTATCTAAAACATCTCTCTGAAATCTTCATGTCTAGGATATTTTAAGGACAAACTGATAAACAATTAGGCTCTCTGTTGGGGGAATATGATGCAAAAAATGGTCAGGATGCACGATTTGAGGTGGGGGGGGGGGGGGNTTACATTTAATCAATAACCAAGAGTCGTCTTAATGCTGGTGTGTACAAGTGCGAAAAGTGAGACACGTCTTCCTTATCTTCATACAAGGGAGCTTTAGCAACAACGACGGCGACGGATACGAAAACGTCAGTAAAAATTTTGTTCGCGCTACTTCAACCTTAAGGTGGCTGAACACAGTTTTGCGGGCAGTCAGCGGTAGCACGTGTTTTAAATTAGACAAACAACCATGGCGGCGAAAAAAGCATTGGTACACAGACGACGATTTCTCAAAATCTACTCTATAAAATTTTGTGATATTTGGCAAAATTTTTACTTTTATCGTATTTTAAATGATGAGAACTTTAAAATGGAAGTTGAACAGATGAATTTTGTAACACATTTAATAATTATGGTAGAATTATATTATTGATTATCTAAAAACCCCTCTGTTAAAATTTGGTCAAATAAGTTTCAAATGGTAATGATTAATTATAGTAAGCTGTGTGCGAGTTTATGGGAAAATCTAATCAGAGAATTTTATGTAAACTGAGTAACGGTGAAATTTTAAGGTTGTATTTAATCGTTCACATTGCCATGGAAACTACGAAAACGTCAAATTTTTTCCTATCAGTCAAACTCTTTCATCAGTATATTTTTCACTTGCCAAGTTTTAGCTTGTGAGCTGCAACCTTTCTCCTGCCACAATCTCGCAAATGACCTACACTCAGAAACTGCCAAAACTGTGTTCAGCCACCTTAATCGCGCTTATTCCATCTCGTTCAATTCGTCAAGTGATGGCGAATTTTTCTGGAGTTGAATTGCAAAGGACTGTACATGTATCAAAATTTCAGGAAAAGAAAAAAGAGGGTCGTTGTCGTGTGTTCACGTTCCCCACAATAGGTGAAATTAGGCAGTGTCTCGTCGTAGTCGTGCAACGACGGCAAAGAAATGTACAAAAAAGCGTGATGCACGTGCAAAGTTGTTGTTTTACCAATCTAAACCTTTTGCTTTTTTGCCGTTCTCGTTGCGTCACCGTAGCTCCCTATAAATGGCACTATTGCTTCTTTTAACCACAGGTACCCCAAGCTCACGACTGAGAATCGTTGAATCGCCGTTGCGTAACAGAAATATTATAAGAGTTTGTATGGAGATTTAAGCGATCGTTATTTAGGGGTCAAAATAGTAATAACAATTAATCAGAATTTCTTACCTTGTCTCCTTGTCTAAGTTTATGCTGTTTCAGTTAGCACTTTTGGCCGTTTCAGGGCGATTGTTTATACAACGAACAACGGTAGAACTAAAACTCGCTGGAATCGTCCTGAAACAGCCAAAAGTGCTAAGAAAACACCATAAATTTAGACAAAGAGACCAGGTAAGAAATTCTGATTAATTATTATTACTATTTTGACCCCTAAATAACGATCGCTTAAATCTCCATATAAACTCTTGTAAAGTTTCTGTTACGCAACAGCGATTCAACGATCCTCGCTTGTGAGCTTGGGGTACCTGTGTTTTAACATATGTTATGTAACCATGATACAATCACTTAGCTTGTGGGGTCGTTATATCAGTCCGGATATTTCATCTGAGATCTGATCTGACCTGATTATCCGTCGAGCATCCCCGTCGCATTCACATGGGAGTCGCCAAGCCCCGCAAGCCCACCCAAAGAAAAACCGCCTATTAACCTTGGATAATATTTCAACAAAGTTACAACACGATCGTATGACGCTTCGATTGGTCACGTTCACATTCTGCGGTAAACAAGGGCGATTCGTAGCATTCGTGCAACTAAATTTTCAAACTGGACTCAAGGTCAAACATAAATCCTCTGCGCTGTTTGCTAAAGTCTGCTGAGACTATGATTGATATTAAAGTAGTTGAAAATGTTAAGGGAAAAACCTAACAATAGAAGGAAAACGCCCAACTTAGTACTTAGACACTACGTTTCCAATTGACACTGATATCGACTAATCAGCCAAAAATAACCGAGTAAGCGGCTAGGCAATCCTAGACAGTTAACCGACATGTTACTTGGCCACAGACAATAGGTATAACGGGAACCAAAAGTATGCCAAAATATCAAATTTAAATCAACCTTATTTACATCTGGGTAAATAGAATATACGTTTTAAAACTGGTCACGATGAGAAAAAAACTCGGTTGCAAATTTAAGTAACTGTCTTTCATGAATCTGGACAAAGTTCAAATATTCATCTTCCTTCCTCCACAGGTACCCCAAGCTCACGAGTGAGTTGCGTAACAAAAATCTTGTCTGCTTGTCTTGTTTGTGGTATGTTCTTAACATTTCTGGCCATTCCAGCGCGATTTTAGCGAGTTTTAGTCCTACCGTAACAGAACTCAACTCGCTAAAATCGCAGAACGCGGAACGGCCAGAAATGCTAAGAACATACCACAAACAAGACAAGCAGACAAGGTAGGAAGTTTTGATGCATTTTTATTTCTATTTTAACTCGCTAAATAACGATCGACAAATTTTCCATACAAACTCTTATAATATTTCTGTTACGTAACTCATTTGTGAGCTTGGGGTACCTGTGCTTCGTCTTTTTTACTCTTTGCTGTTCGAAAAAGACTTGGGGTTTCAGATTTGGTTATTTGAGAGTCTCATCTGGTCCATTTCCATTAATTTCGGCACGAGTAAAGTTCGCCGACGTTTATAACGGGCGTTAATTAATCCCCAGTAATCTACTTCTCGTGAAGAGATTTGATACTTTGTTTCTCATGACCCTTCCTGTTGTAACTTTGTTCTCTAAACTTGCCTAAACCAACCACGTTGTTACAAACTGCATCTGACTTCATTGTGTGTTTGAAAATCAGGCTTTTCTAGCGGGGAGGGGAAGGGAGACGAAAAGAGAGGTTGGTTACGTGAGATACTATATTTTTAAAGGCCTTCTCAGCGTTACCTCCAGTAATCTACTTTTACGTGTCGTTTTGATTTTTGTTATGCAAGGGCGTAATACAGTTGCTCGCCGCGTGCAAAAGTTAAGTATTTGAAACAACAGGTTGTCATTTTTCTTTGTCAGTTGACGTTGAAGTTATAAGCACTGAATACGCTGAAACACGTATTCGACAAAGGTTCACTAAAAAGACGCTCTTCGCAACTAGAGTATAGTAGAAGTGAAGGATGGCTTAGCCGAACCCAAACTTAACTGGGTAAAACGGCGCACTAGTGCTACACACGAACCAAACTTAATTAATTTGGCATATGTTAAATATGTTGAATACAGTTAGATCTGTATTACGTGGTCACCGTTGGGGAATTGCCAACTGACCGTTTAATACAGCTTGACCTTTTAATACAGCTTCGATAAGAAAAAACCTAAGAGTTTATCAAGAAAATAAAGAGGGTGACAGAGTGAAATATCCATCGCACGAAATATTGTTCTCAAAGTGTTTCTACCTCTTCTTGTGCCAAAAGAAAGGAAAAGACAAGTAACTAATACAGGTTCGAAATTCAGCCAAATCAGGTCATTGCAAAATGCCCGTTAAATTAAAAGAAACATAAAAATGACCGCGTAAAACATTAAAGGAAGGTTAAAATAACACAACAGATACAACAGATGCCACGGATGGGCAAAACTGAAGAAGATTGAAACGGATTGAAATTAGGGTTTTTGAAAACTGTTCAGCCTAACAGTTTTTCAAAGTTTTTCTCTGCTGTTTGCAGCTTCAAAGATAATGCTTAGGGGGCATATCTGTTTGTGTCTAATCTCTGATTCTGTCATTTACATGTAATTTCTTTGCCTACTTTAAGTTCCATTGTGATTGAGGGCGAGTAATTGGCAAAATAAAACAAAATGAACTGGACTGCAGTGACACAGCCCCTTTAACAAAGGTTTGACTGTACATCGATTGACCCGGGGCCAAACTATTTCAAACATCCTTACCCGTGTTTTCACCTACAGGGAAGTAAGATAACACGAATAACGGGCGGATCAAACAGGAAATCAAGGTCTTTTTCAAGGACCATTTTGTTTTTCAAGGTCTCTCCCTTCGACAACTATTTAAATCAAAAACACACTTTACAGGCAAAGTTTCCAACGAAAAGGGCTGCCAATAACATTAAACACAGCGCCATGAAATTTTATTACTATCCACGACAAAACATGTGCCATGCTCAAGGGTACAAAAGATATACCTGTACATACTTAAGGCCGCCGGTCACTTTTCTTGTCGAATGGCGCGCAAACTATTTCAATATGCTGCCTTTTTCCGACATGATGAAGAAAAACAGGAAACTCAAATTTGTGCCTTGGTCCGTCAACAACATTTTGGTACATCCAAAATTTCATCCGCCTGGAAACTGAAACGAGCCCGAGGGTATACAGTAGAAAGTTAAGAACAAACCGATTTCGAGGAACTTTTATGATTGAATTGGTCGATTACATTGATTTTTCGTGCTCGTCACCCACGGATAATAAAAAAATTGTCTTCAGCGTTTTCCCGTCATTGTGCTCGAAAGAATGTGGTGGAATAAGTGGGAGATGAAAAAAGTTTCAAGTGTCACAAATCATGGTTTGGTCTTCTGAGCCTAGCGTAAACCAAACACTAGACTTGAGATCTATAAAGCATTTCAGGATCGCTTGACAAAAAGGAAGAAAAAACAAACTCAAATTAAAAAAAAAAAAATACAAACTGCATTAAACTAACGCAATGAATAATCAGCGTTGAACGCAAAAACCTGTCATTTCCAAGAATCTTATTAAAATGGAAATATCTATGATACTAGAATTATTAATATTAAAGAGCGATTCGACGTGTTGACTGGTTTAACACAGAAGATTACAGACTGGAATACCTTTGCAGGAATGACGTTTAATTGGAAATGGATGATGATATTTTAATCACTGATCATTCCACTGAGTTGATGGTATTGTAATCATTACATTATATTACAGTCATACCTCCTTAAGAATGACACTAAAGGAAGATTCAAGTCTCTGTATTACAGACAAACTACCTTATAAATATGGGAAACCAAAGGGAAAGAGTGAAGTGTCTGCATTACATAGGTGTCTGCATTACAGTTATACTACCTTAATACGGTCACTAAAGGAACAAAGTCAACAAGCAAGCAGTGTAATCGAAATTAAGGCCTGGTGAACTTCCATATTAGGAAGGTCAGATAGTCGTTCAAAGCCAAGTAACCGCATTACCATCACAGACATTTCTGTATTATAGAGGTGGGAATTGTATGAAGTTGATATCCCAGGGTCAAGACAACTGTCCGTACGTAGAAAGCCCAGACTGGAAACACAAATAATCAAACTGACCAAACTGAAACTCGCAAGCTACGCATCTACAACATATCATCTTACAAGGAAAGATGGAATTTTTGAATTTCATTACAGTAAATATCATCTTTCAGAAAAATAACGGTTCCTACAGATGACTGCACGTCTAACAATAGACAAAATAGACACTGTCCGAGAACTTTGCTTAATCCTTCAAAATCACTCAAATTGATCTAATCTGAGCCGGCTTGAATGAACCACAGGTAGGATACCGTTTGTTTTGCATTGTTCTATAAACATTTTTCGCGATCACTGTTCTAAAGCTTATGATAAATCTCATATGTTAAAAAATTACATCACAAACGTTACAGAAACAGGTTGTGGGACTCCGTGACAGGGGAGTATTTTTTACTTTGAAAATGTCACATTTTCGAATTTCGTGAACAGTGTCAAAAGATAGAGCCTGTTCGAAATAAATAGCACCACAGGAAAGTGCTCCTCAGTCTCGTTTTATTTGAACGTTCGGCGCGTTAGGATTCCATTCACTGCTCAAACGTTAGAGCCACACTTTACAGCATAATAAACAGTACCATTAGAAAATACTGCATCAGAAGCATTCATTTGACAGGTCAGGCGTAAGGCTGTGATCCATTAGATTTAAATGGTAGAACCACCTTGTACAGCAGACAGTAATATGCATGTCGAATTCAGCATTGTACAAAATACTGTTCAAGTCGTTTCAAAAGAAAAAAAGCACAACAGAGACGTATTGTTCTACACGGTCACGCTGCAGGACGCTAGACATAAAGCCTTCATCAACAAAGTTATCTGGATAAAAAACGAAACTCTAGTTATTTTGTTTTTCTCAGTAAGCCTTTTTGTCTTGTCGTGAGAGACCTCTGCTAGCAGGGACGTCCATAAAGAGCTTAGCTCTTATTCCTTTTATTTCAAAGATAAAATCTTTCTGTGTAACGGCAACGAACTAGATTGTTCTCTCATTACTGTATCAACAAACTATGAAATGTTTAACGATGAAAGTGGTCCAATGGAGTTGAATAAGTGACCCCTACATTCGAGTGATTTCCTAGCCTAAATTGCCAGGGCTTATTGCCAATGGAAAACTTGATCTATTTGGTCCGGAAACTGTCCCATCAAACGGGCGTTCGAAATAGTATACTTCAATTCAAAGGTCACCACGTATCTGCCACCACCAGACGACAGGAAAAAAATTATCTTTTCAATTTTTGTTTTGCAAATGAGGAAAGTAAACTCATCCAACAGCGCTCTCGAAGCTGCTTTTTTTTCAGTATAATTGTTGCTGATTTTGCTAGGAGCATGCCATGAAAATATGAAAGTATGATGTAAAGGCGTACTATTAATCCACGTTTTAATCCCTCTATTAAGCCTTAGCAAAGTATTGTACAGCCGACGAAGCAAAGTAACGCTCATTGGCTTAGCTTACACTTCATGATTTCATACACAGACTCAAAAGCTGTAATCACCTTGTGAAATATGACAAACAATACCACACGGCACAGAAAAAAAGTAATGCTTAGAAGATTTTTTCAGGAGAATGATGCGATGTTACTTCGAGGATTATATCCATAGGCTTAAAAGTTAGAAAACATATTATGAACAGCACCAAAGTAGAGCAGTGCTCAGTAACTTTCATTTGAGTGGTCACACCATTTGATTTCTTTCGTAGACTCCACTGTTCATACCACCCTTAACAGCCTAATTAACAGTATTTTAGGAAAGTACTGGACAGTGGCGTTCATTTGTCAATGAGTGGTTACACCATAGGATTTCACGCGCAAAATAGCAGTTTAAAATCAGATAAACTGAGGACCAGTAAAGTACAGCTCAGCAGCTTTCATGATTTGAATGGTGGTCACGCCGACTCAAAAGTTATACAAGTTACTACAAGAAGTACAAGTCAAACAATTGTAACGAGAGTAGTTACACGCTAGAGTTTTATCCAAAAATGAGACTTTTTCATTTACTTTCCAGAAGTCATTTTAATGTAACATGTACTTCTCTCAACCTTAATTGCGGAGAAAAAAGCGAAAAAGCACTGCTCAAACTGATATTAGCGTCCATTTGAATAGCTCTTTGATGAAAGAGATTGCTCCAAAGATCCTCTATAATGGTCTTTGTTGCAATCAAAGTATCTGTTCTTTCATGTTTGCTCGTAATAGAAAACGTCAGAGATTTTCACTCGGAGAGACCAATACTACATCTAAATAGGGCGCATTAGTTTATCTAATTCAATTAACATCTAATTGTGTTAAGACACTTCATATTGGCGTTATCACAAAACTTCTATGAGATAAGAACCACGCAAACGAGAAAGTAAAAGAAAATCTTGGAAAAAAGATGCATTAGACTTTTAAAATAATTCCGGCATACATCATGAAGCTTGTTCCTATGAGAATTATTATTCAAGAAACAATTAAAATCCCCTAAGACAATAATTAGAGGCTAGTTTTTAATATCTCAGTTAAAGGAGGCTATTAATATAGGGATAATGGCAACATTAATCCCCTCATCACGAACTTTCACACGAGAAAACGTAGACAATTGAATTGCAGAATAACACGTTGGTAATTTGGTTTTTAGTTTTCGGCGTTATTTAGGTCAACTTAAGCAACAAGATTATGGAGACAAGACTTAAAAACACACTACCCAGAAAAATTTAACGTTATCTTTTAAATGTCACCCACAAAAGTGGAATCCTGTTTTAATTGACCCCTGCTACAGTGAGTTAGGGAGTCTCGTAACATGGTTCGAACTTTTGCGTCTGTAAACAAAATCCTATGGTGTTATCATTCAAATGAACCTCTTTTGCAGTACTTTCACATGGTACTTTTTGTTTTTCATTATTTTGCAAAATGAATTTTAAAATTTTGTGTCTAATTTAGACTTTGGCCTCTTTTTCTGGAAGTAAAGGGGTTGAAAACGACCAGCGTTTGGCCATAAAATCCTGGTCGTAATGACCAAATGGTCTGTATACGGTATACTGGTTGGTCGCGAGGAGGAGTTTCATTGTAAGTATCTAGATTGCAGGGCGCCCAGTGTTTTATCAAGAACATTAAAAGTTTCATTTTAAAATATACTTTGTGTTGTACGCAGCATTGGAAACTATTAAAATAACATGTTAAAACAACCCAGCACTGAGATAGCCGTGACCGTTCTGTTTAACTTGTGGTCGTGTAGAGAAGTTCAAATGCTGTAAGTTCACGATATTTCGACTAACATTCTTTATTTTCGACACCAGTAAAAAGCTAATTTCTTTAACTAATTGCTGGTTAATCATAGATTTAATTGCTACATGGGAACATGTGTTTCTCGAAGGAAATAAACAGAGCAACTTGGAGAAAAAACTAACTACTTCCGGATATTCATATTCTGGATTTGAGACAGATTAAAAAGTAACCATACTTCTCGGGTCCGAGGTAGGAAATTTGCTGCACCAGTAACGTAGTTGCCTTGCGTGATCGGGGTTATAAAATATTACCAAAGATTTAATGAAATCAATCATGTATTTGGGAAAAGTACAGTAAAATAGCGGAAGATCGAGAATTATCGTAACATGATAGTAAAGACTGAGGAATTTTTAAGAGGATGAAAATCACCGTTGCATCTAAATTTGTAAACAAGCACAATCTGCCCCTAAAGGGCATCTTCAAAATGTTTTGAGTAATCATATAAAAAAATTTACCTCGTATCGCCGCTCTTGTTTCGAAGCCTCCACTTGCAAAAGGAGTCTCTTGTAAGCTGCCTCGAGCGCGGTGAAGGTGTCCTTTGCTTCGTCATAATGTCTCAACGCAAGATCGTCGTTGTCGAAGAATCCTTTGGAGATTTTCGACACCCGAGTGTAAGAGTAGACATCATCTCCAAACCTTGTTGTACTTGTTGCTTCAGTTGTAGCGCTTTTATAAGTCTCTGTTCGCTCGTCAACGCCTGAAGCCGTTGAGGCACTCTCTCCTTTCTTCATGGAACTCATTGCTGACCAGTAGACAAGATGGAACAGGAAGTTACCTATGGACTCAGACTACGAAGGTGGCATCCCCTGACCAAGCCTGCAAATGAAATGGAACTAGTACTTTAACTTCACTCTCTCACTTAATTTATGTCAACAAGCACATTCCAAAACACGTAAAATTTATGCAAATATAATCGCTGTCGCTAGTCACTGACAACCGCTTGAGGGGATTCATATATTATTATGCAAATTTGCAAGGCTCTTGAATCGCTCCACTGCTTTTGCGAAAGGGTCGCAGTATCCGCAGTAGGAAGGTGATCTTAAGTATGGTCAAGTGTCGCAAACAAGTTAGCAGTGATAAGTTTCTGCTAAGTAAAAATATCACAACTCAACTCTATGCTGGTAAATAAATGGAGCAATGACCAAATTAATGAAAAAGATGATACTTTAGAGACCAAAAGGACGCCAGAAGAATCGATGAACGTTGTTTAGAGACGCAGATTTTTTCGAGGCCAATATCCTTTTGTTGTTAGAGATGTGACCTTACTAAGTCACGGAACAAGCTGTTACGTCGCCTGTCACCTTCGGTTTTGATTCTAAAAGATTCTCTTAGGAAACTAAAAGAACATTTCCCAGTCCTACAAAAATAGTACCCACCTATGATTTTTATTCATCTTTAAATAGCATGTTAGTTTCCAGAGCCAAGCTAGCACTGGTGTTGTCGCATCACAGAGGGAGTGAACGATAAATAATAGTGGTCTCATGAACCCAGAAATGCAAATTTCTCTTTGCAAAATCTTAAGAAATAAATTGTACTTTGAAAGTTAACAGCGCGGGACTTCGTCCACACATGCAGATTTTAGACTGACAAATAAAAAGGTTATCTAAGTTGGACCACATTAAAGTAGAGGAACTCATAGCCAAAGTTTACCTTTGTCTGAACAGATACGTCAATTCACATGACAGAATCATGTGAGTCCATTTGCGCGTTCACTAGCATGGTCACACTGGATGATTTCTCCACAGCTCCAAAAATAAAACGGGAGGTTGTATGCATGTACAAATGAAGACGGTCACTAATTTTCATTTTGTTGATTGTAATTTATGTTGAAAATTACTGCTGAATACAACTCAACTAGTAAAACCGATTTCAAGCAGCAAAACATAACGAGTATTTCGAGAAAAAAGAGAAAATGATTACAAATGCAGATAAGACGTTGATCACAGTACATCGAATTTGTTTTCCGTGACAGGCTTATCAGGAAGTAATCAGAAAAAGATCATTGTTCTACTTTAAGAATCTCTTAGCTTGTTTGCCGACTACTTTTTCGGAGGTTTCTTTCACTCAAAAGGTTTCTGGTCAGAACAAAAACACAGGAATTTATCATCAATGTCCCTTTAAACCTTACGAAACGTCAAGATATGTTGACGACAGATACTGATCGTCGTAAAAATCAGCACTTTAACCGTCAAACAGAGCTCGTCGATTTACAACCGGGGTTCGTTGCAGCGAAGGACCGAATGCAAGAAGCCAACGGTAGATACTTCCAGTAAAGGTTTTTAATTAATACCCTTAATAAAAATATATTAATAATAATAGTAAAGCAACTCAAAAGAGCAGTCGTTCACTTATCATCAAAGCAAAACCTAAGACACACCCTATTTTCTTTGTCCATTAGAAACAGGAAACTTCACGCCCTATCTTTTTTTTTTTTTTAAACAATACGTTTTAATGTTTAGCGCCCGTTTTGGGTGTTTTATCAACCTTCAAGGATCATTTAGCATTTAATAAGCGTTTGTAATTTAGTGTCTTGTTTAGTATTTTTCGACCAAAACTCAAACGTTGCCGGCGGCTTCTCGAGAATGGTTGGCGTCGTTAATTCTAATGAGGACAGGAAAAAATTAAAATAAACAAAGAACGAAAACAGACCCAAATTTCTCGAAGTTAGCTGTTTTTATTTCTCACTTTCTCCACTCTCCGCATCAGAACTCCACTTTCAAGAGAAACGAATTTATCAAATTCGATTTGCAAATTATACAGTGCCACGACGTTCCGATGCAGTAGGATTATATCACTAAAAAGAACAATTTAATTCATTGAAAAGGAATAATTGCAGGGGAGTGACATTGCCAATCATACGGCTAAATTTAAATTAAAAGTACGCGAGCAAAAATTGTTAAATTTCCGGCGGTCAATATTTGCAGAAGCGAACTTGATAAAAACACGGGAACACGAAAGAAAAGATGACGTAATGATTGTTACTAAAGCTTTCACGTTTAAAGATTTCATGACTCTAATATTGTTAAGGAATGTCTGTCACTCTTTGAGCCTAGAAGTGTGGCTCTAACTTCTGTAGCTGCAAAATTTGCAGAATTTGTAATCTCTAGCTCTGTGCAAATAACAACTGCCCTTTCTCGCTAAGAATCAGTAATGCTGGGGTAATTTTGTGGAAGCTCTAACTTCGAAGCATAACTATTACAGCTCTGTGTAAATAAAGACTGTATTTTCTCGTCAAAAATCAGTCGCGACTATTTTCATGAAACCTGTGCAGCCGTACTTTTCTTTGCTAATTTCGTTTTAGTATTTTAAAACAGGAAATTGGCAATTCTCTTTAATCCTTACTTTTAGCACTCTTTGTGTGTGGTAAAGGATGTTTAAAGGGTTGGTCGTTATATGATGTTGTATCTGTATAAAATCTAAATACCTGGGCGATTCAGTTTTAACAAAACGACCAAAAGGTATATTTTTGTCTGCCCTTTAGGTTCTAACACTGTATGTAGAAAAAACGATCCCATATCAATTTTTATGTTGCTAATCAATACTAACTCAAAAAAGGTCTGATTAACAAAAACAGAGAAATATACCCATAATGAAATTATATTGAATTAAAACGGCACTTGTTGTCCTCCGCACGGTCTTACTGAAGACTTGCTCAGATGACAAAATGTTCGTATCCTTTCCCCCCAAAATTGCGATAGTTAAAAGGAAAGTATGCGGTCGAGCACTTGAAACACTTGTTACCACCTTTAGTACAAAGTTCTCTAGATAACGGTTTCGTGACAACGATAGGGGGTCATCTCAAAGTGCGAAGTAAATATTATTCTTCGAACTTTTTCAATCAACGCTTATTTTAATCCAATATTTTTGGAAATAAATATTTCAAAAGAGGTTTTTGAAACCCAGGGGTGTAAACGAAGGCGGAAACAGAAATAGAGTAATATTACTCGGATTTCGGTGATTAAAATCAGATACCTACGGGTAGTTACTGTATACAAAAAATAAGGCACTATGGAGGTCGTCCAAAAGCTTTCTACTTTCGTGTCGGAATGGAACTTAAATAAGATTTGATGACGTCAATTTAGGGTGGCAACTAAAAACAGTACCACAGTACAAAAGCGAGCAATCGATACAGCAAAAAAGGGTTCTAATTGAAATAAATCTTTTGATAAGTCAATAGGATTAAAAGTATAGCACATTTAAAAGATAAAGAATGGAGAACATATCCACAGTGACGACATTAACGCTTATGTACGTAGTTAAAAAGGCACAAATCAATAAATTAATTCGTAACTTATGACAAGCTTACTCTTGTGAATCTTACGATCGTCCTTGATCATGCATAGATCTCATGATCATCTTATCTAACGCGTGTATCGATGAGTGACAACCGGAAAGCGTTGTTTTCATAACCCTAAGTTTAAGTTAGGGTCGAAAAAGTCTAGGAAATTTGGACGTGTGGTTGTTTTTGAAAGCTGAAGTATACGCCCTTTTCCAGAGGCCATAATTACCGGAAATAAGTCTGAAATATCGTTTACATCGCAACAAGGCGCTAAAGGGAGCTAAATGTATTCCACTCCGGATTGAAAGAATATAAACAGAGATTAGCAGAACGCTAACGAAAACAAAGGTACAGATCAATTTGCTACGAGAATTTTTTCTCAGGCATTTAAACCTGCATCGAGAACTTTCCCACGGCCATAGCTAGATCGGAGACGTATTTGCATTGCAATTCAACGTGGTAAACAATGCATCTTTAATACCTCCAGTGTTAAAGGGGTCAGTTGGATAACACACATTAATTTAATTCTTCCGTAGTACAATTGTTCCCAGTAGAATTTTCCCAGGCATACTGCATAAACTGAACATGGGAACTAATCTAGAGGAGCGAGATGCCCTGACAGTCGGTCGAACGCTTTAAAAAGAATTGCTTTGTTGTCCTGTTAGAAGACCATATAAGCTTATTGTTAGCAATTTTTACGCTTGAAAAGTTTTGAAACTTCAACGAAACCAGACAAACGAGGATCACACAAGCTGTCGGATACCACTTTTCGATCGTAAACGGCCGTTTATAGTTTGTTAAAAAGGGGCAACTGCTTGGGTTTGAACTTATTTTAAGTGAAAAACGAATTTATCCGTAGCACGTACCTTAAACCATGAGCTTTCCGCTTGATGTAACCAAAACAAGTCTGGTTTGCCCAATATTCGTGCTGAGCTCATTAATACGGAATTTTTTTTCTCATGTCATGACTCTTGATCCCCTTTGTGCTTATAAACAATTCCAATACAGTCTTACTAACCAGTAATATTCCATTAGCGTCGCTTAGGTGCTAAATATAATAGGAAACTTCTGGGTCATTGACTTATTCGCGTGTCACAAGCTGGGCGGGGACAAGAAGTTTTTATGGTATGCAAATGAGCCTCTGGAGTACAAAACCCCAAACAAACGCTAACTCACTTGCAGTCGCGGAGAGCAAGACTAGTCAAGCGGTACCGTGGGAACCCTTGTAGAAAACATACGACAGCTCAGACACCTTCACGTCAATTAAGGACGCTGCGACACTAAAGGAACTGTTGAATCTATTACAGGGCACTAGCTGCAGTCATGTCGGAGATGGAGCAGACGCGCTTGGAAGTAAAAGCTGGTGGTGGAAGGTCACCCTCGCCTTCAGTTCGACGCACAGTCACCTACAAAGCGTCGGAACTTTCACTAGCTTCCAAAGCAGGCGACATCACGATTCAG